TTATCAAATTCCCACCACCAGCTTTTATCTTTTTAATTTAGAATTATAAACAAACTGACACATCTGTTTGGAAGGATGGTTTTTAAAAATAATATTTTTTCAAGATGAGGATCAATCAGACAGCTAAAATAAGATAGCATTTCGATTATCATGCCAATTCTATTTTTAAAACAAGTTTTAGAATAAAGTATTATTGCTAATTTGTCAATTTAAAATAAATTCTGTGGATTTTTTGGGAAATAATGTTTTTAAGTATATCTAAGTGGCAATGCTCAATTGATCTGAAAAATTTATAGTAGTTTAAAATGAAAAATTTAAAAAAAATCAATCAACTGAATATTGGGAAATGTCTACTATTTTATGTCTTTTATTTTTTTTTTACATTATAATGCTATATATATACGATTTATAAAAATGACCAGTTTAGATAACTCATAAAAATGCATAGACCTTTCTACTTAACAGTTTTTTTTCTTTACTTTTTTGACTATGGTAAAACGTGGAAATATTTAGCAAGGTTAATTATATTTGCATAACACAACTACGTCAAGCAGAGTTGTCACGTCACTTTTCGAGGCCCCTTTGCCACTTCTTGGTTTTGCCCTCCCCCACCTTGCATTGAAAGATGATTAATAAGGCAATATTTAAATCACATCTCAAAGCCCAATGCAGTTGTAGGGATTGCTGAGCTCACATGATGCTTCTAAGGTTGAGTGTCACCTACATTTTTTAAACTAGCATTTCTTCAATTGCTCTCCAAGTGCAGCGACACCAAATTCAGGTATTCTTGCCAAGACTCTGCATTTGTCATAAAATCCGTCCCCACCATGTAAAGAAAAAGTGAAATCTGGGCTGACCACCCAACCCGCTTCACTTGCAGAGGCGTAGCTAGAGTGTTTGATGCCAGGGGACATTGGTTCATTTTCAACCCCCCCCCCGCTCCTCAACTCTAGTATGGTGCATGGGGATATCTGTCCCCCTCTTCCTCCTTAGCTACACCTCTTGCCAATGTTACTGCCGCCGACAATAAAAACGGAAAAGCCTCCCCCCCCCCCACGTGGGAAATTTTTCTGAAAGAGACACCGCTTGTTACGCCACTGAACAAGTAATACATATGTGTAACAGTAACAAAAAATCACGTGGATGCATATTTATTATGTATATTTAAACAAGCTCGTAGGAGGAAGGCGTTCGACTGTATGACAGAAAGCAATTGGATTACGCCTCTTGTCAATTTATTAGGCTTTTCTTTCTTTTATGTTTGAATACTTTTGGGTATAAATGTTCCTTCGAGACCACAACTTCAGTCAGCCACTAAGCCCGTTTTTGTTTAAGAGTCAGGGAAAACTTCAACAAAATATGATGGAAGTGACCATTTTCTCTACATTAGCAGTTGTTTTGGTAATATATTGTCTCGTCCAAATGTATTTATTTTTCATTCCAGAATATCTCTACAGGTTTCTTTTATCTATCTATTTATGTATCCACCCGATGATATAACTTCCTCATAGACTGCCTTTCTCTTATCCAAACTTCCCGGAAAAACCGTTCAAATTCATATAATTATTTATCCACTGTTCGTTTTTTATTTTGAAAATTGCCTTATTTATTTATTATTTTGTAAATAACCAAATCTGAAAACAGGTATGAATTACTCCAAGATCATTTACAACTTTTTTTTTTTTAAATTTACAATCCCTCTTTGGGGCAATGGCGGTTTGAGGGAAGTGAGGTAGATTCAATATTGAATTATTTATAAGATTAAGATTAACGATGCTTGGAGTTGCATATTTCAGGAAATTACAGACATTATTTTTCCCTGACGATTTTATTTCAAAAAATTATTGTGAATAAAATTTAAGTGAACTAGGTAGAAAAGAACAAGAATTTAATTAGCGAAATCAACAAAGGCCTACGCTTAACATATTAAAGTACGCATCATTACATACTATTTTAATAACAAAGACACTCATGATTAGTCCCCTGTTACGCCCCAAAATTACATAATGTAGATACTTTGAAGAGCACCTACGTTTCATTGACAATGAAAAACCTTGACATTTTAAAATTAAAAAAAAGAAATTGACAGCAAAATAACTAATCTAATTTGAAGGACATGAAGGGGATGGACATCTTCCACGCGTTCTATTAAATTGTTTCTTTTGACTTTTGAAACAGAATCGTGGTCACAGAGATGATGACTATTTCTTGAATAAAGTGACCTTTCTTGAGATGGTTCAGTTAGTCTCTATGTTCCAGTTCAAGAAAGAGCGGTGCACATTTACACTATATATTATCATTGTGTATTTGTTGCATTCGGAAAGCTCCGCTAGAGTGCATGGGAGCGAAAGGGTCTCAGTCTTTTCATTAAGCTTAAAATATATAGGTCAATCGTATTTACATCATTCCAATATGCTAGTGAGACTCAAACAGTGTACATGAGTTATGTTATACAACTAAACCATCTTTACCTACGCTGTCTACAAAAAAATTCTTGCCATAAGATGAGAGGAAAAAGTCCCTGATACAGAAATCCTACAACAGGCTGACTTTATCAGCATCTACGCCTTTCTACAAAAATGACAAGCGAGATGGGCAAGGCATGTTGCGAGAGTGTCAGACAGTAGATTTCGTAAATAAATAACGCTCGGTGAACTCTCCAGAAAGAAACGCTTTAAGGAATGGCTAAAAGTTTCACTCATACCTATGAACATCGACCTTGATTACTGGGAGATACTTGTAAGGCTGGTACAGACCAGGCAGGCTCACTTTTGAAGCACAGACAGACTCACTGTTGGAGCCCAGACAGACGCATTGTTGGCGTACAGAAAATCTCCCTGTTGGACCACAGATTGATTCACTATTGGAGCAGAGACAGACTCGCTGTGGGAGCACAGACAGACTCATTGTTTGAGCACAGACTCGCTCTTTTAGCACAGACAGACTCTTTCTTCAAAATTGTACATCTTCCATTTAACACTTAAGTCAAAATTTAGACATATATAGTAACATTAATATATACACATTTTTATGTAACAAATTTGTTACTATTAATGACAAGTTGACGCAAACTAGATCTTCGATAATTGTTAAGTAAGACACAGATAATACAATTTTTCTTGCATTTAAAATAAAGAAGTGCTTAATCTTGTCAAAAGTTTCCCAATAACACTTTTAAAACTCGTGTATTGGAATCAAAGTTAAGTACAATTTTTTTTCAATATCCTTTTCATAGGTCCTCCTGATTAACTCTGTAGAATCTTTTGACAATCCACAAGCAAGAGATGTCAGTGGTCAAGAGGTACAACAACTAGGCGAGACATTGGCTCAATATCAGTCAGTAAATCCACACCAAACAGGGTCAGCTGGTGCATCAAGTGCTGATGTGAAACAACTAGGCGAGACATTGGCTCAATATCAGTCAGTAAATCCACACCCAACAATGTCACCTGGTGCAGCAAGTGCTGATGTGAAACAACTAGGCGAGACATTGGCTCAATATCAGTCAGTAAATCAACACCCAACAATGTCACCTGGTGCAGCAAGTGCTGATGTGAAACAACTAGGCGAGACATTGGCTCAATATCAGTCAGTAAATCCACACCCAACAAGTTTAGCTGGTGCAGCAAGTGCTTACGTTCAAACTATTTTACCACTGGGGAAGTAGATTATTTGGTCTAGTGCTAAATATACTCTGAAATATTGTCTTGTCCCAAATAAATCATATATTTATTTTTTTGTTCTATCAGATTTAAATTTAACTGCAGTCAAAATAAAAAGCACTCTATAATTTAATTGATTTGAATTTGTTCTTCTTTTTTTTTTAACGATAATATTAGTATTAGTCATGTTGTCAACTCCTACTGTCTTCTTGGATTGATTACATTCGTCAAGTTCTTTTCACAAGTTGAAGCGTCGTACTATTCTCACTATCATCGAACAAACTCAACTCCTTTTCATGATAACGATAACTTTAATGTATAAGTAAATCTAATACACATAACATGTGAATATAGCGCAGCTCGCTATCAGACCTAAATAATACACATCCTATCACTCCAAAGTTCCACTCAAGACTGCCGCACCACTAAAACATACGTCACAATACTGCATAGACAATACATCACGAATCAGCATAAAAATATAAGTTAATTGATTTGAGTTTGTTCTTTTTTTTTAAATGATAATATTAGCCATGTGAAGTAAATACATACTGTAACAAGATATGTTTAAAAAAACATTCTGTATCATTTGGTGAGTATAGTAAGTGTTTGTCGGAATTTGTTGTTGACAGCCTTATCAGTAACAGTTACAAAATTTTTGAAATTCAGGAAACTTGGCAAATTCTTTGTGTGGGACATCCAATCATGGTATTAATTCTAGATTTCACTGTGAATCTTAGTTGTTCAAAAATTCAGTTTAAAAAAATGTCAAAGCATTCACTATTCATTAATAATATAATAATGACAAAAATTATTAAAATTTCGCTATATTATTAGCCAGGGACATCATTTGGGTATGGCAGGTTGGGGCTTTACCCCATAATAATATTTACTGTCTTTTTTGCATTTGTATATTTAATATAAATGATAGAGATTGGGTTCCGCCTCAAAAATGTCTTCTGAAGGGTTCAAAGACAAAAATAAATTTCAGAATCACTAAAACTAATGAAAAATCCCAGAAAAATATTTGTTTAATGTTTTAATGAAGAAAAGGATATCATTAAAAGTTAAATTAAAGGTATTTTAGAATCCATTATATTTGCACGAATATAATTACATTTTTTGTGTGTATGTGATCAAATATTCCTGGTCTACTCTAAATAGTACTGTATCAATCTTTCAAAAACACATCATTACTAAGAACTAACAATAAGTAGATCTCTTCCCAAAGAAGGAAATTTATAATTCCAATGTGGAAGTTGACAAGTTTTCTTTGTTTAGCCAAAAATGTGGGATATTTTAAAGCCCCCAGCATTTGAAAAACACACATTCTATAAACAAACATTCTATAAACACACATCAATTTAAAAAAAACAAAAAGACTTTTGGTGAAGATTTAGTCAATTTTTAATATCAAACTTACAAAAGAAAGATAATAGCCACCCATCAAAATATTAACTTTTAAAAAAAAGCATTTCTTGAAAAACTGCTTATAATTCCTTTAAATACCAACCGCACTTTAATTAATAAAGCAAAACTATTGAAGTTTCAGAAAATGTTATGTTATATAACTTAGCACTCTGAATTGAATTGATGTGACTTCCAACTAAAAAATAATATTAAAACATTAATTGTGATGAATCATGATGAAGATTCAGCAAAAAAAAAGCAAAAAAACTTATTTAATAGCCAGTGAAAAAAAAAAACCAAATTAAAAAAATTTTTACCCCCCCCCCCCCCCAACCACACTATTCTCTTGTTTAAAGTTGTATACATTTCAAAACTGCCTTGGTACCTAGTAAGTCTCTGTGTTGTTTAGTGTATAATACTCAAGTAAGCAACACAAAACATTAATGCAATAAATTAATTTAGAAATTTAAGTTGAAGAACACACAAACAGTATTTGTTTTTTTACTCATAAACAAACATTCTTCACAAGTCCCTAGCACACACACAAGTGGTAGTGGATGATTAGTGGTGTCTGTGGTCTGGCATACGCTGACGAGGTGCAGCTCTGATGATGTTATCTACTCTTATAATCATCTCAGCAGCCTCTGCTCCAGACACAAGTACCTGTCTCTTGACCTGGAAGGATTCTGTAATGCCAAGTTCTGACATATCTGCAATTCTACCACGCTCCATGTCTGGAATTCATGGTAATATTTCAAATGTTTACCCTCAATGCAAATAAAAAAAGGAAACTATTTCAGGTTATTTATTATGAAAAAAAAATGAAAAATATGTGACGAAAATCCAGTAGAGAACAAGGCATTGCAATAATTGTCACTTGTCTTTGGTTGTTTGCTTCAAAATTGATAACACTCTTTAGCCAGTTGAACAGAATATTATCCAATTCAATTATTACACAAAATATAAAATACAGTGGTACCTCGGTATACATCCACTTTGGAATATGTCCAACTCGGTATGCGTCCTATTTGGACAAGAAACTTTTTGCTTGGTGCAAGATCCGAGTTTGGAATATGACTAGTGTGCGTGCTAGAACTTGTTTGTGTCAAAATGACACATGGCACGTGGTAATTTGTATGCGTCACAACACTGCAGGATACTCCTGTTTACCTCTCATGTGTGTTAGTATGGCAATAGTAGCGCAATAACTTTTTGTGATTTTGTGTTTTTCTCGTAAATTTTTAGTAAATTCACTAACCACGAGTTCTAAGAAAGTTAACGTGAGGAGCCAAGCAACGGAAAAAAGGGTTAGGATCACCATGGAGGTAAAAAGAGATTTTTGAAAAGTATGAGCGTGGCATGCGTATCCGGGACTTGTTTGCAGCAAACCGTATGCCGACAACGACGATTACTATGACAAGCAAAGAAGTTCTTGAATCGGCTAATGTTGCGAAGGGGGTGAAATCGATTACAAAACAAAAATAAGTTTGGAATACTTTCTGTTTGGTATAAGTCCAAGGACCTGGAACGGATTAAGGACGTATACCGAGGTACCACTATATGAAGAAATTTTGAATGCTTTAAACCAAATAATGTAATTCTTAAAAAGTCATTGTTTAAACTATTATGTATAAAAATGAATGAAATTTAATTTTTTTAAATATTTAAAATACATGGTTATCCTTATTATAAACTTTCAATTATAATATCTCAAGTTGAACACAGTATTGGTTCATTTCCATAAGTTCAATCCCAATAACCATAATAATCATGTTCCACCCCCCCTCCCCACCCCAAGAAAGTATCAACTACCTATGTGCTAGTACTAATTTTAAAGACTGTATGGGATATATGCTTAACTTCATAAAATAAGATTTAGGTTTTACATTAAATCTGTTCAATAGTTTTAATATCTACACTTGCCATTATACTTTAAATAAGCTTGTCAAGACATGCTGACCTCTTAATCTTGGAGATAAAGAAGATAAAAGAATTTGGATTTCTTAATAAGGAAGAACAATGTTCTCCAGAGGACAGCAGTAATTCCTAGCAGTTGAGTTGTGTGAGTTCATACTTAAGTGGTGAGCCATAGGCTGATGGCCATACGCTGATGTGGTACAAACAGTTTTGACGCAGGGAGGAAAAAAATCAGCTGTATTGGGATTCAACAAAAATCTAAATAACATACCTAGCCCAATGGTGTGTTTGCCATTGGTGTGTGCAGCTCTCATCTGAGCAATCAGGTCAGCACTATCATAACCACCATTATCAGCAATAATAGTTGGAAGCTGAAAATGAAACACAGTTTTAGTTTATCTGCAAAAACAAGCTTTAAAATTTTTTTAAAAATAAAACTACTTATAAATTTGCACTAACCACAGACTGAAATGACACAACTCACTTGTCTGAGGGCTTTAGCAAAAGCCTCCATAGCAACAGCTTCCTTGCCTGGTGTCTTAGCAGCTAATTTGTTCACAGCATCAGCCATAAGCATCTCAGAACAACCTATGTATGACAAAATTATTTAATTATAAGTCTATCCATAACAATAATTATGATGATGAATGGTCATGTTTTTAGTTTAAAGCTCCACTAAAATAAATGAACTATCCAAGTCTAGGTCTTTATTAAAACTAAACAATATAGACAACTAATTTTGCCTTACAGAAAAAAAAAGTATATATAATGTTTAATTTATAATAAAATCTTACACTACTAAAATAGCATTCAATCAATCAATTGCAACTTTATTTCCATAACAATATATTTTAATTTAGCTTCAAATTTAGGAAAAGTTGACTTTTAAGATGACAAGAAACATTATATAATTTGGTTAAAGTAAGATAACTCACCGCCTCCAAATACTGTACGTGTTTCTTTCACAGTCTGAGACAGAACACACAGCGCATCATGAAGAGATCTTTCGGCTTCATCAAGGATTTGCTGGGTGGCACCACGCAACACAATAGTACATGCTTCTCCTAATGCCACACCTGAAATACAAAAAGTTTTTGAAAGATAACAATATAATGTACTTAAAACAAGGATAAAATCTTGAAATACAAAACTACACAAGAATCCAAGAATTTTATGAACAAAATATTGTAAAAAAACATACAATCTTTGATGTTATGCATACCTGAGAACTTTAAAAGCTTGTCTTCTCCAATCATAATTTCTTCAATAAGATCACAAGTTCCAAGTTTGACTTTCTCTGGACAGTCAAAGGTTGACACAATTTCACCACCTGTTATGATCAAAATATCATTGGCATTAAAATGGTCTTCAAAGATGTTGATAGACGAACAGTAATGGGCATACATTTCATTCTGTTGATCTCTTAACAATTTAAATACTTTTCAACCTCAATAACTCCTACTTTCACCACTCTCCTATCTGTTTTTTTATTTACATTCATAAAGATTTCATAAAAATAATTAACCAAGAAGGCATACATTTTTATAAAATGATTACAACAGATCCCAATGTTTAAAATGTTTAATCTTGTGACCTCCAGCAAATATTTACTTAAAAAATAAAAAGGTGACAAAGAGTTAGTTTTCATGCAGGAAAAATCATTTTGACTAAGTAGCAGTCTACTTTTCTTCTAAAAATCAAGTAGTATAAATTTTAGCTGCTTTACATGTGTGTTGCCTAATATCAGTTTGTGATATATCTTGACAACATTCAATGTCTGCCACATGCAAAATGGCTAGGATTTTTGCCTCCTACTTCAACAGCAAAATTATAATTTAAACTACTTGTTACTCAGAAAGATGTTCTATAAAGAGAAAATTTTCAAAGACAATTTATTCTAAATTTCTTAAATACATACATTCTATGATCCTGGTATTTATTTTTTTAAACTCTATGTGTGACAAGCTACACAACATATCCCCCCCCCCACCCCTTTCAACTTTTTATCAGCTACATCACTTCACTTTGCCCATTTACCCTCTACAACTACCTCCATCCTTCTATGCTCTCCACAAAACCTAACCATAACCCCTACTTCTTCAAACCCTACACTGTCACCTAACCTCTTTACCCTTAGCACTCCAAAACTGTCTACCCAAAGCACTTGTGAAAAAAAGGCATAGGCAACACGAAATTCAAAACTTTTCTCCTTCAGATGTATGTTTACCTGTGACAAGAGCAAGTCTTTCAACTCCTTCAAAATCTGCATGTTCAATAGCCATAACCCCAGCATCGGAAAAAAGCTGTTCAGGATAGTTGTAGATCAATTGATTTCTCCTTCAGATGTATGTTTACCTGTGACAAGAGCAAGTCTTTCAACTCCTTCAAAATCTGCATGTTCAATAGCCATAACCCCAGCATCGGAAAAAAGCTGTTCAGGATAGTTGTAGATCAATTGTCTGTAGATGTAAAATAACTAAGTGATCATCAGATCATTCCCATGCCTTAACTTTTCTCATCAGTTTCAACTATATACGTCATTAGGGTGAAATCTTATGTGCACTGACACAAAATGTGTCCCCCGAAGACTCTCTCAAAGCGCTATTCTGCGTGATTTAAATGAAGAAAACCATATGTTTTTATATTTCCAATTAAAATTCATAGCTAGTATGTTTCATTTTACATCAACGCGCCTTAAAATAAAACTTTGGCAGCTGCACATTATAACATTTACCTTTAACTTTATATTATTCTTAAAATGCATTCAATTCTGCATGCATAATGCATAAGTTGTATATAGTCTATAATTTATTTAGGATCTTTAAAAAAAAAACTTTGGCAGCTGCACATTATAACATTTACCTTTAACTTTATATTATTCTTAAAATGCATTCAATTCTGCATGCATAATGCATAAGTTGTATATAGTCTATAATTTATTTAGGATCTTTAAAAAAAAAGTAAAACTTATCTTCAATTGAAAACTGGAGTAAATGTCCATTGTTAGAATAAGAAGTAATAAATAAATGATTGAGTAAGGGTGTTAAACATCTAGAGGGAATAAGTTAAATAAAGTGTCAGTAAAATGACCCAAGCACTTGTTTACATCTCACATTTAGGTATGTCTGTTTATGGAAGCATCTAACATAAATAGTTTCCTGTAAATATGCTGGACAATCTGAAATATAATTATATCTGAAGTATCTTGCATAGATAAATGAGATTTCTTATTTAATTAAAAAACATATCCCTCATACCTATTAATAAATACATTACATCCATGTTTTAGGATCTTTTCAACCTTGCCTTTCATTTTTTCTTTTTCAGCAAGCTCCAGCTGAGCCACCTTAGAAACTGCATCTACACGCACTCTGGAACCAAAGACCTAACAGAAAACAAGAATAAATTTAATTTTTAAAAATCATTTAAGTCAGAGGTCGGAAAACTAAAGCTTGCAAGCCTATTGCAGCTCATGCCTCTTCTATTAATGGCTTGTGTTTACTTTAAAAAAAATAAAAATAATTAAAGTAATCATAAAAATGAAGGAAAAAATGAACATGAAATTTAAATATAAATTTTCGATTGCAGATGATCCTACTTTATGGGGCATTTTTACTTTTCTAGTGACATCCCAATTTTCTGGGGATTAACATTTTCTTTTTCTCGTGAAATAATGTTTTTCAGAATGTTCAGTGAGGCAGAAATGTTTGTGACACGTTATATAGTTATTATAATATTAAATGGCTGGAGAAAAAAGAAAGCGTAATGAAAACATGGCCATGTCTTCCCCAAGTGGACGGAAGAGTTTTGTTTTACTTGTAAAACGCATCCCTTAAAACCCCACTTTCACCATTTATCACCCCCATGCATCTGTATCTCTTCAATCTGGATCCCAGCCACAAAGTTTGCCCACCCCTGATTTAAGTAAATATTCTTTTGAAATAATGTAAGCTTCTAATTATATGACGACATGAATTTAAAAAAAAAATATTTTCTTTAACTCTTAAAATCGTACAATATCATCACAAAATTTTTCAATACATTACCTTAATAGTAAAAAATAATGATACAGTATATATAATTTGTATACACCTCAAAATTGTACATTGTATGCCAAAATCGTAAGAGTAAACAGGTCTGTGTACTAGTGATGATCTGAAGTTATAAAAATTATGCAAAAGGATAATAAAAAATTTGATATTTAAAAAATTTAATTGACTGTACCTTTATTTTATCTGTGTCCATGGGTGTGTTTGCAATTAGAATCTTTGCATTTTCAATTTTTTTGGGTTGATTGACACCAACTTTCTTGTCCAGTAGAAAACCTGAAATGATTGTGCAAAACATTTAATTTTAAAAATACCATTTTTTGTTAACACTTTCATTTTCTCCCTAATGGCAAAATTAGAAAGACCATCCTAATTTATTTGAACACATTATTTATTGCTTTTCTCAATCTCTACAAGTTGCATACTACAAGTAATTATATCCACTGACCATACACCAAAATTCAGACACATACCTTCATCAAGATAAGAATCAGAAAGATTTCCACCTAATTTCTTGATTAACTGAATAGCATCAAGATTACCACTGCCCTAAAGAAAGCCAAAACACAAGTACGAAATAAGCTGTGAACTATTATTTTAACCCAAAGAAAAGAAAAAAAAAAAAGAAAAAAAAGGAAAGGCAAGCTAAAGAAGTTTATGTGCTTCAATATAGTAAATAAAAAGTAAATAATTTGAATTTATGTCAAAAGAATAAGTTAATGATAACTTTTAGAGTAGCATTATTTAACAGTACCTTCAGTCTTAAAACAGATGCCACTGCCAATTTAGCAAACATATCCTTATGCTGGGTAAGAATTTTGGAGCTCAGTGTAGTTTTTGCAATGTTCATCAGATCTTCACGAAATTTAACATCATCTTTCCTGAAAAGAAAACAAAAATAGCAGTGTAAAGCCATCAAATTACTTATTCATTAGCTTTCCATTTTATTTAAATATTCCAATTTAAGTCTAAATACAAATTGGTAAATATTCTATTTCTAAATAACAGGCTATAACAATTCCCAACAATGGGGCATTTCCCAAAACCTACCCATTATCTCTAGCAGCATCAGTTAAGGCTTTCCTTGCTGCATCCACGGCTTTCCTCCACCCAGTTATGATTGTCTGGGGGTGAATTTTCAGTGAAACCAAGGCTTCGGCTTCCTGTCAAATAAAGTGGCATTTATTCGCTTCAATTGTGGCTAGTCAAATAATAAAGGAAGGCCTGAGTGGTATATCTTAACCTACAATGCATTTCCCAACACACAGACAATGATAAGACACAAGATACTATAAACTTATGTCAAGAAGATTTTTCAACAAAAATGTTCTTTCTTTTTTTTGCATTTTCCTGATTTGAAAAGCTACACAAGTTTAAAGATGTTTCAAATTCCGATGGTGATCATTCATGTCTTTTAATTTCAATATTACACAAAATTAAGCCCTTTCAGGGACTTTAGTCTTCATAGGTGAAGTTTCTGAATGAGTTAGTCTAAACATAGCAAAGTTCAGGGTTATATATATTTACTAAGGGTCAGAGACCTATCTTTGAGCACAAAAATTGCAGAATCGTTAACAGTTAAGAGTGAGACTTTTATTAGGAGCTGTTTGTATTTTTATAAGCAATATAACACATTAACCACTTGCATAACTCTTTTAATTTTTATTTAATATTTTCAGTCTAATTGTATTATGAACACCAACTCTCATTAATTACAACAAGATATTTTTTCTACGCGTTTTTTACCAAATAAAGAATGCATTATCTTCCCTATCGTAAAGTAATCAATCAACTTATTGAATTAGCACGCATCATTTAATAGTGGTATTCTTCTGTATCCAGTTGTCTTTGAGAGGTGTGGGTGCACCTCCACATGAGAATCCATAATTTGATCCTGAAATTTCAGTCTCTACTGCACTTTCTGTAACTGAAAATCACAGGTTGCAGCGCCTCTAAGATATTTTCAGGAAGTTTAGTCTTTTGCACCTCCTTGACCTGCTTAACTAGGTTTGAACCTAAGACGCCATTTGAGATGTGCCAATGCAATGTGTCCCTCTCAATGAGACAGTGTTGAAGCACACCGTGCTCTACAGTGTCAAGAAAAACAAAATGATGGCAGCAAGGGGTTGAGGGGGGTAAGCAAATGGTATGCAGGAGATTGAAAATTCTACTCCAGCTGGCTTTAATGGCTCTATCCAAGCCAATGCAAGCTAAGTAGCAGGGGATCTACAGTTGACCACACTTCTTTGCACTAGTTTTATTTTAAATATATATGTACTGAACTAATTAAGAGCAAGTATAAGGGTGCTGAAACAGTTAACTATTTTATTTAAGGTGTCCCATCAGAAGAAGTTTTAAAACCACTGGTCTAGATGGTAATTGAATTTGAATGGTTAATAACTTACTTTAAGTAGTTCACAAGCCAATACAACAACAGATGTTGTTCCATCTCCAACTTCATCATCCTGAACTTTAGAGATGTCTGGAATTCATAATGCCTCTCATTTTAACATATTTTTTATTGGAAAATAAAGAAAGAATAGCTTGAAATTAAATTTTATATTTAAAAAAAACAATATATTATGCTACTCTAGTAGCAAAAAGCTACTTATAATTAATCTAGTTCAGGCTAAATTACAGTATATTAAAATTTGAACATTGTGAATATCACTGTGCCTCATAAGGTATAAATATCATCCATCTATAAAGCTAGCTAAATGCTTATGAGCCTAAAAGTCAGAAACTTACCAACAAGCACTTTGGCAGCTGGATTATCAACTCCAATTGACTTCAGTATGGTTGCACCATCATTTGTTACTTGAATGGTCTCATTATTAGAGCTTGTCTGTAAAATCTTGTCCTAAGATTAAATATACTCATGAAAAAAAAACAATATAAAAAGCCTGAATTTTAGTGGCATTACAAGCATAACTACACTGAAGATACACCACTAGACTGGAGCTTTATTTATATTTAATTAAATTTATCATTTGGATCCTTCCATTGAATATCAGAGGCTACAATCTTCTCTGGCATAGAAAATACATGCTTTAAATAACATGCTTTAAATCAATTACATTCAAGCAAACTCTAGCAAACTCCTAAAATATTTATTCAATACCCAAGCACAGACATTTAAAGATTAGCAGTACAGAACTTGATGTCATAAACTTATATTTACCATTCCTTTAGGTCCTAAAGTGCTTTTCACTAAATCTCCAATTGCTATGGCGCCAACAAAGGAAGACTGAAGAAAGAAACAATTTAACAATTTATAATTCATAAACATGGATGTTACATCAACTATAATTGAGTTTTGTTCAGGATCTTCTGCCAAAGTGTGGTCTCTTGAAGTGACACAAGGGTTTGTGCTATGCAAAATGAATTTCCTGCCCAAGTGAATCCCATAGCTACTAAGTAATTGTCACAAGTCACTATGCCCATGAACTTAAAGATTCCGATTGACAAAACCCATTTTTGGTACATTCAGCTGAAAACACAATATTAGCTGTAGCTTCCGTTGACAGCTCCTAGGTTTTAGTTTGGTTGTCAGCTGTGGCATCATCTAATTTTCAGTTCTTAATTAATCTGTCCATGGTCACGCAAAAACAAGTTTAATGGAAATTAATGCTAACACTAAACAACTAACTACCACACACTACAGCTGTCAGACTTGATCACTGTCAATTTCTGTTGTTATTTTGATATTTTTACTGGCCACCAACAGAACCCTGGCTGGCGCTCTTGGAACCCTTAGGAGCTTCCTCTTAGAACCCTTAGGTTCCACGGAACCATGGTTGAAAAACACTGTTTTAAGGTTTATGTAACTGCACTTTCACATTGATGTGGAGGGGCATAAAAAATGTAAATCTTTCCACTGTCAAAAATATATAATATTCAATTTAATAATAATCTCAGACCTGTTTACCCTCAAACTCTTAAAATCGTACAAAATCATCACAAAATCTTTCAATACATTATCTTAATTGTAAAAAAAAACATGCAGTATATATAATGTATACACCTGAAAATCGTACATTGTACTCCAAAATCGTAAGAGTAAACAGGTCTGTAATCTTAAGCCAAAGGTCAATAAAAACTAGATTTTCTTCTCACAGGTTACAGTTCCTTTATATTATTAGGGCAAGGCCTACATACAAGTAAAAATAACAAAATGTAAACTTAGTGTCATGTGTGAGATATATAAAAATTTACTTGGCTAAATGAAAATGCAATTTAAATTCTCAAGGAAAATAATCCCTCTACAAACCCCAGGTTCAGCAAGAGGAGAGGATTAGGAAATAATGTTAGTAAGTTTTATCTTTTGTGCTCATTACACTGTTGTGACAGTGTAGTAATGATATGACATAACTAACATTAAAAGCGCCCAAAGTTTATTAGCTTTAACACGAAAATAATTGAAAATATATTGACAATAAAAATATTCATCACAGCATAATTTGAAAGAAAAGAACTTTGAAAAACGTAAACATACCATTCTTGCCGTCTCCGACTTTTCCTCCTCCGCGCCATATCGCAAAATCTGTACTGGATTTAGGGAAACCTGAAGTAATATTTGAAATTTTATGAATATTTACTGAGTGAGAGAGACAGAAATTATTAAGGTTATTAATTTGAGTGATATTAATTGAAGAAGATAAGTAGAAGAAGCATACATAATAATGAGGATGCATCTAAATAATAATATAATAATATAAATAATCCATCCATCCCATCCCTGTGGCGATAAAGTTAAAGATCATGTCCATGTAGAGCTTTAGCCTGCCTCACTACTTCCTTCTACTCAGACCTAATATACTAATAATGGTATAAATAGCCATTCCAACCAAAATTAATAGATCTGCCACAAATTCCAAATTAACTGAATTTTATGATGTTATATTTTGACAGTTCATTCAGAATAGTAAAGGCATAGGCCTAAATAATGAACAGAAGTTTCACTGTCAAGTATATCACTGTCAACTTCATTTGAATTTGGAAACTTTTGACTTTTTATTTAAAATTTTCATTAAACAAAGACGAAAAGTATGTCACTCTCTGCATAACCATGATAGGATGAAAATGATAATTAAATTAATGGCAGTGTCTACACGTCCGGTGCGCGGGACGTATATCTCCCGCACTATCTGTCCAACAACCAAGTCACATGACCCCCGGAAGAATACTTTATCGAGATATTCGTCCGGCGACCAAATCACATAACCGCCGTAACAAAGAGGCTCAAGATATTTGTTCGTCAGCCTTGTCACATGACCGCGAATGATTCAAAACTATTGTTAATTTTAAAATCTATTTCTCTACCAAGTAATTTACTAAGTATCTTGCAAACAAATAATAGAAAGAAATACTTGGGTATATCACCAAAACAAAGTGGGTGTTAAGCAATAATGTATTCTAGAAGGAAGCAATGCTGACAGGGAAAGATAATTACTAAAAAAAATAAGAATGCTAAAAAAATAATAGTGAGGGTGATCAATAATTACGTTTAAGGCAGGGAGGCCGATAGTTCACAAAGAAATACACGCTACATCTTAATATAAGGCCGATATAGTAGTAGCCTACCCTACTTCTCATGCAATACTAAATACTAATCCTGGATTACAACTTTATTGACAAAGATCTATTGAAGTCTACTAGTCTTATTTTATTTGGTTCATATTTTAAATTTAGGTTTCAAGCTAGAGTTTTACAAGATGTTTAACCAAGATAAGGGGCTTTTTTTTCTTTGAAGAGTTGGAATCAAATAGACTAGTAATAGTAGTAGTAATAGTATTACTAGTTTAGTATATAGGCCGACTTGTTAAATATTCAAATATTCAGCTGACTAATATATGTACACAATATTGGAATATTAAATACAACGCAACTATTTTGCCGGCGACCACTTATTGCATGACATGTCTACCGCCGAAATAATATCTTCCACTAGTCGTCCGGCGGGGTGGTCACGTACACACCGGAAGAATTTCTCCCACTTGTCGTCTGGCTGTCATGTGACATGCCCGCCAGACCTATATCTCCAGCACTATTTGTCCGGCGCGCCGGACGTGTAGACACTTCATAAATTAATGGCAAGCAAATGATTTATTAATACAATAGTAATACTCTAGGCTAATAGTATAGTACTAGGCATAATGCTAGGCCTATAGTCTAGACATTAATTTTTCCTAGTCTAAGTTCTAGTTTGGTAAATATCCAGTTAACGGCATGGGTTTTGCCAATAACTAGGCTAAGTACTATTTTCATACTCACTAAATAATAGTAATAACTGAACACTAAACAGTAACTGGGCCCATTTTCAATTAGCCTAAACCTAACTCAAACCCTAAACTTAACCCTAACCTGGGTTTTGACCCTATGGGAACCAGCCTAACCAGGGTTTTGACCCCATCGGAACCAGGGACAAAACACGCAAATGACGTCAGGGTGCTATCTCCTCACATAATCCAAGATTTCATATTTTAATCAAGGCAAAGGGCATCATAGGCTATAATAACAAAGTGATAACTGCATTTTTATCTTCACCCTCAAGTGTGGGGAAAACACAGAGGTGACGTTTTATTTTCCGTTGACGTTAGTAACTGCTATACTAAGACACCGGTTCGCAATTACAGAGCGAACGCCATGCCATGAGTCCGAGTGAGACTTTTCGTGATCAACTGGCATGCACCTTCCATGTGAATTATAAAAATAGGGCAAACATGTAGCGATATAAACCAGAAAGCATGTACCGCACAAACATTGAATTAAGAGTACAATGAGAATATAACCATTTTATTATAAAATATAATATGAAATAAGGCGTCACCATGGTAAATCTTTGATTATCCGGTTCGTCACGTTGTATTTCACTGGAATGACGATTTGCAAGACTTGTTCAGTTTTGAATGTATCGATACCATTAAGCAATAAACATTTTGAAATTGTTTAAAACACTCAAATAAAGTGCAAAGGGTGGTTATTCCCTTTCATGTGTATGTGGCTAAATTTTCTTTTGGAAAAAAGGAAAGTTTAATTTTGTATTATATTTGTCAAACAATTCTTTAAAATGTAATACAATTAGGTCGATTACAAAAAGCTTTGCAGATTAATCTAAATCATACATACTCGAATGTTCGTGAGATCTATTGGTTGTAAGAAGTGTGCATTTCCGGTTACAATAATAAATTAACGAATTACTGTCGACTACATCGATCACCAATCCAAGATTATTACCTGCAATAAATTAGCCTATGCTTTCCAATTAAATTTTAATGCATTTAATGCAATTTAATAATTAAAACAAATACGCTAGTTATATAAAAATGTAAATCTTTTCACTGTCAAAAACATATGTGAATATTGAATTTAATAATAATCATTAAAAAAAAAAAAAAAAAAAAGTACAAAAGTAAATTAAATTTAAAAATTAAAACAAAAAAACTAGTTATATAAAAATGTAAATCTTTTCACTGTCAAAAACATATGTGAATATTGAATTTAATAAAAATCATTAAAAAAAAAAAAAAAAAAAAGCTCAAAAGTCAATTTAAAGTCGATTTTCTTCTTAAAATTAGGCCATACAAACATTTTGAAAGATTCCAAATAATAAATTGTTCACATCGCAACTTTAGCTCCCCTTAAGTATCCGAGACAAACACCCCCCCCCCCCACTTTTTTTTTGTTTTGTTTTTTTTTTGTTTTGTTTTGTTTTTGCAGTGGGTAGTTGCAGGGCCCACGCAACTGGTATACAGATAATCTATTTTATTTTGCTTTCTTGGTCACTTACTTTTCTGTTCAATGCAGGTGAAACAAGATAGGCCTATGCATAGTCTTGAAATGAAAAGATTGGGCAATTAAAAGAACGTATCGACTAGATGCCTTCTTTAGCAGACAGTACACATCAAGGAATAACATAAATTAGACATAAAAATAAAAAAAAAGTATATGAAAATCTCAATGAAGTCAATGTAGCGCTATATTTTAATTGTCCTGTCTCTTCATTTCAAGTTTAACCATATCTTCTTCCACTATTTTATTGACTCGACTTGAACGCAGTCCTTTATATTTTATGCTTTGCTCGATGAAGAATTTTTGTTGTTGTTGTTTTTTTAATAACACATCCGTCGTTATGCTTTGTCTTTTTTTTTTCCAAACTTCCCCAACCATTGAGCAACGGATTATTTCCTTTTTTATGTAACCTTGCCCCACCCGTCCTCTTTTTATCCCTTGGGATACTATGGCGATGAAAGCGCTAATTGCTCTACATTTAGTCAGTGTGGGGTAGGGCCCTTTAGCTCTAAAGCAACAGAAAAGATGAACAATAAATCACTTTGTCTTGACTCCACTAAATGCCCCCCCCCAAACACCTTTTTTCCAAAACCATTTTGGTTTCCTAGAATTTGTGACTCTTAAATATTTATTTAATGACTAGAAATAGCCCGCCAAACAATGGCTGCTGCTATGCGTGAACTTCTCGTCTAGTAACGTTAACGCACCTGATGATAAAAATTCGCCAATGAGGGCTAACTGCTGGGAATTTTAAATTGTGTTTCTTTTGAACACATCGTAACAGCCATTACATACACTCCTAGGGAATTATTATTAGTGATTTTTTTAAAAAAATTAATGAAGCGACACAAACAACATACACATTATCAGTTTAAGATTAATCATATTAAAGAGAACACATCTTTTTATCAACTCAAAAACCTATTGAAAGAAAACAACGAGAACAACAAAAACCCTCAAAATTCAAATTTAATATCAACAGTGAATAGGAGAATGTCTTGAATTTGAAAAGCAACAAATACGTAATGTGGAGGTTTGTGATTTGGTGTTAGGAGCAAGTTTAAATCAGATATGCAATTCGATTTTGCACATTCAATCAATGTCATCAAGATATGTCGCGTTGAATCAGCGGTTCTCAACCTGTGGGTCTCGACCCCTTTGGGGCTCGAACGACCCTTACACTTGGTTCGCCTAAGACCATCAAAAAATACATATTTATTAAGTAGCAACGAAAATTATATTATGGTTGGGGGGTCACCACAACATGAAGAACTCTATTAAAGGGTCGTGGCATTAGGAGAGTTGAGAACCAGTGCTTAAAATAAAACATCATGAAAATAATCGAAATGGCTAAATCAGTGACATGCCCTTAAATTTTCCAAAAACGTTATACCTGCCTGTTAAATTATAGACACGTATAACATTCAAGATCGACACAGAATCTTGTCTTTGTTTTAAACATACCTTTTGTAAATAAACAGTGAAACAAGATGTTAAGGCAAAGGCTTGACAATAAAATACAAGACAATTAAGCGGACGTTTCGGCCAGATGCCTTCTTCAGCAGACAAGGACAGTAAACAACATATTTAATTGTAGAATTTTTTGAAATTATAGTTGAGATCCTTGTATATTGTTATAACTTTTGTACTACGCCTCTAACCTCTAGAAAATAGAAAATCGTAACAGCGATCTTTGTTTATTTCACTGCCTCTTGTAGAACAATGGACCTTGAACTTGGCTAGGACGTTTATTTTACCACTTATTACGTCTATATTTGCTTTGGTGGTTTGGGTGGCGGGAAAGGGGGGGGCAGGGAGACGTAGAGCTGGGGAGGGAAGAAAGGTTTTCTCAAAGAAAGGTAAATTTCTTGTTAAAATTGTATTTACGAAAGCCTAGAGCAGTGGTTCTCAACCTTCCTAATGCCGCAACCCTGTAATACAGTTCCCCATGACTCATGTTGTGGCGACCACCAGCCAAAAAATTATTTTCGTTGCTGCTTCGTAACTGTATAGCATATGTGTTTCAGATGGTCTAAGGCGACCCCTGGAAAAGGGTCGTTGCGACCCCCAAAGGGGTCGCGACCCACAGGTTGAGAACCGCTGACCTAGAGTATATTTAAGGCATTAAGATTGTGGACCTTGAGTATATTTAAGACGGCATCACGAGGGAGTAAAGCTCTATCATAATGATAACCATAAAGCATTAAAAAAAAGTAGTTAATACTAAATCACGTCGTTACAACGTTTTTCGATGATTCCCGGATTTGATTTTCGAGTGAAAATTTTATAGGCAAAATTTCGGGGCTGTAACGGATTACGTCCCATGTCAAGGATTCGTTTGATATTCGTCCTTTTTAAAAAATATATAAATTCCCCCCCCCCCCCCCCCCC